ATCGCGTATATTTGTTTTTTCAAACAAACCGTCGTTTCAGGCCCTTTACGGGTCCCATGGTCACGGTTGACATAGTCACAGTCAACAAGTTCGTGAAACAAGGGGGTGATTTTGGGGCGTAGGAAATGTTGTTGAGCGTAGCACTCACTATATGCTTATAGTGACTTTGAAAAATAATATGTGTGCAACTTCAAGTCCGCCGAAAGTTTGCCTGATTTCATCTTTTTCAATTACTCCATAGGCATTACCTATGGAGTAATTGAGTGACTTATCTGAACTTTGGCATCTTGAATGGCGAGATCACATCGGCGTAAATTTCTCTAACCACATTTTATGCAACCAATGTATGTTTGCCTTATGTCGCAACTATCTATGGCATTTGCATGCAACGGCTTCGCATATCTCTCGCATGACCATCATCCTATATGAAACGTGTGTAATTCTGGCTTTGCACAACAAGCCAAATTATTATTAATAATAATGTACAAAACAGCATTTCTAATTAATTTATACTTGGTTCCAAACTAGAGAATAATACCCCAAAGTTTACGTACCCGAGTGTAAATTTGCAATTACGTTTTGGTAGATTTTTAATCGAGAATCTAAAGTACGAACTTACCTTGAAATATAAGCCTTTCAGATTTCCTAGCAGGTTGTATACCTACATTGTACAAATTAGAAATAAACCCACGTGTATGTAAATATTTTTTTTACGATTATAATATTGCGATAGGTGAGTTGATTAAGTTCCATTGCTCGGCATGGGTCCTCTAAGGAGAGGGTTCAATATGTGTTGGGGACTTCATACGTTTTGGAGTTTTTTGATTTGCTACTAAACATAGAAGTGCAAAATTTTCAATAGTGACTTCGGAATGAAAATAAACACCTATCTAAACAAAAATCTTGATAGTAAGGTTTAAATGTAAGGAAATGCTAGTCAAGACCAACGAAGTTCATCAGGTTCGGCGGTCATTTTTATATATTGGCGGATATTGTAAACTATATACGAGTAAAAGCCAATGCTACCCTGAGAGACGAGCGGATGGTGTCCCGCCACAAAAAAGGAATTTAAATTAATTTGTGGTGTGAGTACCAACTCAACATTTGTCGATCTTCCTGAAGGAGGAATTTTGGCCTAAGGGTGTCATGTATCGACGCTTACAAGGCCGATTACCGGCCGGACACCCAACTTGTCACAAGTCGCAGTCCATACGTGTAAATAAATAAATAGTGTTTTATCATATTGTTATATTATATTGTATGGATGTTAGTTCGTAAGGTAATCATTATATTACTTATGTTGGTCATGTCATGTTGGCTGAAATGAATAAATAAAAAAAATGAATAAATAAAAAAAAAACCAAAGTTTTACAGCGTTCTTTTGGAAGTTGTTCGTGTAATTTGAATTGACGGAGTTATGTGAATAAAAATGCAATGGAACGGGCGCTGTCGTTGACTAAGATCTATCGGGACGCTATAGCACTCTGTAGCATCAAGCACAGGTTAATACAGGTTTTAAGTAGCAGTAGAACTCCGTGTGAAAGAAGTCTTCCAGGGTAGTCTTACCTATTTCTGCCGTCAAGCAGTAATATGAGCATTACTGCGTTCCGATTTCGAAGGGCAAGCTGGTGCTGGTGAAATGACTGGCACATGGGACTTGTCCATTTTTGTTTCAGGGTGACAGGCGCAGTCTTTTTGTAGCTCTGAGCGGCACTGCAACACCAGGCAGACGACTTGTGCGTCCGACAACCGGTACTGTCGTGGTATAAAAAAAATACGCTTGTATTATTAAATGTTATGAAATTTTGAACATTACACTGTACATGTACAAGTTAGTTATGTGATAAGATATGCACAATTTTGGCAATATGAGGAATATCTTTGGCAAGCTGCAGTCGGATGGAATCGAGTTACACTGATATAAATGAATGTCGACAGTGGATCTCTCTAATGAGAAGCAATCGTTGATATAATAAAATGAAACTTAATTTTGTCGTCGCACCTTATTTAAGTATAATAACAAATATTCGCATGAGATTTAATGAAGTGCCTGTAGCCGAATGATTGCCATACTATTCTGCCACGCAAAGGTCCCGCGTTTGATTCTCGGGCCGAGAGAAATATTACTATCGCCTAGACTTATTTCGCTCGTAAATTTGGGTGTAATTTGTGGTTGTCTATGTGTACGCCCATGCCACTTGCGACACAGAATTTCCGTAGTACGTAGTTTTGAATGTTCGCGTTATTATTATTATAAAAGTAAAAAATATGCTAAATACCTACATCATCTGTCGGGCCTTAGCCACGGTTAACATGCCCGCTATACTCGAACCAAGCGGCATGTCGCGCAGATGGCAAACGCCCGGACGGAATGACTCTCATCCCTTGTGAGTTGGCCGGGCACTGGTGTGGTACGCCACATGTACCCTGGACACACTTGCCCCATCCCATCTTCAGCACACCAGCAAGAGGGCTGGCTCCGCTGCAGAGCTGGCAGAAAGAATAAAAAGTAATAAGTACCAGGTTCTCGGCTCCGACTACCTATTTAACTGCCTCCGTGGCCGAACGGTTACCATGCCGGACTGCCACGCAGAGGTCCCAGGTTCGATTCCCGGGCCGAGAGAAATAGTTGTATGGCCTACAATTATTTCTCTCGTGAGTTTGGGTGTAATTTGTGGTTGTCTATGCGTGTGTCCATGGTACCCGCGACACAGGGTTTCCCTAGTGCGGGGCTATGTTGAGTGTGTGCGTTATTTATTTATTTATTTATTATTTATAGCCGTGGGGTCCCAGTGCCCTTCATTTGTACAAAATTTTATCTTTAAAATATAATAAACTGTCTGGGAAACCCAAGCCACCGTACCCAACGCATTAGCATAGCCATTGAAAGGAGGAACGCTGCCAGCATCTTGGGCACCTTACCGCGGGGACCCAATTTTATTCATGTAATTTAAAAATCCTAGTTTTACTTCCTAGTATTTAAGCTTTTATTGTACCTTACCTGTATATTATAAACCTACTAGTAATTAATACCTACATTGACCTACCAATAAATATTAGTGGCGAAGGGTTGATATTTGAAGAGGGTAAGCCGTTGTAGAAGGTGTACAACACAAATATTATCTGATCAATTTGGAAAATGAATTTCGTAGGCAAATTAATGGGAATCGTGTTATATATACGGTTACCCTTTGCGACAGCTAAATACCCAATACGTTTATTATTGACTTTTTAGGTTTTCACGATTGCTGTATGTGTACATTGGAAATGAAACCATTTTCCTGATCTACATCGCGTATACTCGTTCAATATGTATGGTTTCATTTACAGTGTGTAGCAAGGGCGAATTGTAATAGTCCATGTGGTTATTAGTTGTTTTTTAAATTTGACGAGGTTTTATTTACAGTCAATTATTATATATATTATTACCTACTAATTACGTTTATTTTTAGGTATTTCTCATGACTTATTATGATCGCTGTCTATGTGTGCTTTTTTTATGGTACCAAGTCAGGTCAGACAAATCTTGCACGGCGGTAAGCGACTCAATGCTTTAAATCACAAAGATGTGAGGGGCACTATGACTGCGCCCGTCACATTGAGACATAAGTTGGCAAGTCCCATGTGCCTGTAATTTCACCAGCTCCCTTACACTTCAAATCTGGAAAAAAATAAACTTACATTATTGATTGGCGGTAGAAATAGATAAGGTGGCAGTATTTCCCTGGACAAAATTTTTCACAAAGAGCACCATTGCTACTGATTGTTGAAATAACAAACATATACACTTCCATCTGTTGGGGTATATATGCACTTACGGGGGTAGATAGCTAGCTCCTTCGCTACATTCTTTCATCCCCTCTCCCCTCATCATTATTGACGTTTAGATGTTTATTTGAAAAAAAGCAAAGGGAAACAATAAAGGTTCCGAGAAACAAATGACATTGCAGGGAACCAAGGTTAATTGTAGTATTAACCTGTGTTAAAGCGAGTTACCTACTGAAAAACAAACACATAATACACCGACAAAATTAATCATATTTATCAAACAATCAAGTACTTTTTAAAATCATAGTTCTATGAAAAACAAACTATACTTTCGAATAAAATACTAAACTTACGAAAGAAAGACTAACTTTTCACTTCTCAAGCTCTAAAAGTAGGTACACCAATATAGCCTTAGGTAGCGGGAGTCAAGAGCATAATTGAATTCTTAGGGAGTAAAAGGTACCTAGTCTTTCAATTTATTTCAAGTGACAGACACACTCAAACAGCCAGTACTTGCTCTATTTTATGCCAAAACGCAAAAGTAAAATAAGTGAAACAGTATAATTACAACTAAAACAACACATCTTAAAAACAAAAAAGATAATTATAATTGAACATAACAATTCATCAAAACAAATAAACATACAGTTTCCTATAGATATCTGCGCTGTAAAAATTCAATAAAAAAGTGCTTGTGTGTGGACCATTTTCATTACGAAATGACTACGTTCGGTTTTAGTTCCGTATAAATGGTGGCGCCAAATTATTTTCCCTCGTTAGTCCGTTTGTGTGTGGACTATTTTAGTAACGCGACGTAGCAACTATTTTTTATTTGATCGGAATCGAAGTGAAAAGTAAAAGGTTTCGCCTCAAGACTAAAAGCCAACTAAGCCATGGAACGAACCAGCGGATTTCACGAATTTTTCTGTGCTTGTTGTCGTATCGTATTTGGTTTTTTCAACGACTTTTAGCCGTAGCGCCATCGACGAGAAATTTATGAAAGTATTTTGTCACCGAGTTAGATACCTTTACAGCTACCAGCCCCGGCTAGAGATGTCGCTATTCACTGTATTTAAATTTATATTGAATTGATATTCAATTATTTTTATGTGAAATTACTCCACTAGTTTGTTATAATTATTAATACAAAGATCGAACATTCAGAAAAAATTCCTTCGATCCGGCCGGATTCGAACCGACGTCTTCTAGCTTCTCCTTTATACAATATTCTTATTGTTACAGCGCTACATTTGTACGCCTGGGTTATGTGGTCATATGGGCTGATGATGGTGGTGTTGACTTGTGCCGTCTTCTGGTTGACGATACGTCCAGCGCGGCATTACTGGCGGGAGTGCTACACAAATGTTGGAGTCGTGATCGCTGTTTATCCTGTAAGTATCTCGTAAATTCAGGCAATCCGTGGCCACTATGCGGAAGATTTTTAAATAGATCGAGTAAACTTAGCTGTACTCAATCTTTTTTAATGTTTTTTTGTGAGGGCTAAGGGTGCTGGTGAAACTGAAGGCACATGGGACTTGTTAACTTCCGTCTCAGGGTGTCACGTGTAGTGGCACTACCATTCGACCCTCAGATCTTTGCCATTTAAAGTATAAACAAAAATAAATGTACGAATAAAATAACGTAATAAATTGTAAATTTTACTACGCATTGGAAAGTTTGCTGGTACTTATAGCAAAGGTTTTTCTTTTTTAAGTACCAGCGGTTATATCTCCTGATTCTTTGGCACTTACTTACTGTACGTACACTATGCATGTTGTATTATTATTATGGCAAATAAATTTATTATTATTGTTATTACAAAGTTCTGAGTGGCACAGTACTGCTATGGACATACAAGTCACTTACCACCATGCGCACGACATGTTCGTCCCGTCACTTGTTATTATAAAAAAACTTTAGGGCGATATATGTATAGATGTTTGCTATGTTACACGGGCCACAACATTTTTGGGTGACGACCGTTTTTTAAACTATTTAAAAAAGGAGGAAGTTCTCAATAGTTCAAATGTTTTCTTTGTGTTACATGATTATTCCGACATTTGTGAACCTATTTATATGATTCTTTTTTGTTAGAAAGGGGGTACCTCTATAGTGGTCCCATTCAAATTGAAAGAAAATATTCCACCTCCAAGGGTGACAAACTAGGGGATGAATCCGGTTCATTGGCTTTTATTGATTTCAACAAAATTTGGCAAATAGTTGTATCCCACAAACTTTTGAGGTTGGTTTGTTTTTATAGAAAAGTTAAGTATACTAATTATTACATTAGTGGGAACTACTCCTCGTATATAAATAAAACATCAAACCTGAATAAATCAATAAATAAAAACTAAAAACAATTACAATATCAGTGCGTAGCAGTGAGTACCGCACATAAAATCTTGAATCTGGATTAGACTCAACTGTTTTTCAGATACTTATCAGATAAGGCAAGCTACGCAGATATATTTGTAGTATCTGATTCTATTATCTTATTTCTCATGTGTTCGAACAGTGAGAAATAGACGAAATGTTTATAAAATTGACCATTTTACTCTATGTGTGATCATTTTCTATTGGGTACAGTAGGTAATAATAATACCGAATGAAATTGTAACTTAATATAAAATATTCAAAGACACACTAAAGTATGAGAACATAACGGCCGCAATTTTGCGAAAGGTTTTGATTTAATTGAGTTTGAAATTAAGGTGCACGGACAAAGTGGGTTTTAGAACGTTGATTACCAGTTGCAGCGAAACACAGCGGGTCATTATTGCGTAAATACGTTTCGTAATTTTGTTCGTAAGCGACGACAGCGACGGCAGAACCACTTGAATAAACGCCATTGAGTTTATTTTTACTTAATTTCACGAAGAAATTTTGATAAAGTCGAGTCTTCGTCTTCTTATCGTATTGATGACATGCACTATTATAATACTTGCCATAGTCGAGAAAGGATTTGCCAAACGACGTAAAGTACTCACCGTGTGTTGCCAAGGGCACGCCAGGAAAGGAATGATACGTCGTGTTTTTTCATGCACCGTATTTTTAATTTGAGTTTTGAGTAATATCGATTTAAGACTTTTTGTCAGAACAAACTAGAACGTTAATTTCGGTTTCGTAATAAAAAAAAAATGTTGATGGATCCAAGAAATTATACATTTTATAAAGCTGTAAATGGTACGATGTTTTTATTATGTATAGGTACATTATGTACAGTATTAATTGACATTACAACTCTCCAGTTACCATACACCTACATTTTTAAGCTTAGCTTAGGCGTCAGTCTCCCAAAAAATTAACCTTACCAAAATTTAACTGTAAACTGGTATTCTGTGGAAGAAAAAGTAAACTTTATTATTATTATTACTATTATAAAAGTTCCACCCTGCAAATCTAGACTAGCATGTTTTATCGCTGCCATTGTACCTGTGCCATAAGCTTCTTTGTATTGTACTGTGATTTAGCAAATAAATGAGTTATCCATCTGTCTAATACAAACAGTTTTAACTAAAATCGCGGAATGAAACAACTGTTCGATACCATAATAATAGTTTTCACCTTCTCAGCCCAAATGTACGGCAGTTAATTGTCGTTGGTACAAAATTATCTTTGAATACTTTATTAATTTTTTTTTATGATATCAATTGACAGGACGAACAAGTCGTGTGTCTGGTGTTAAGCGACACGCCTGTTCATAGCAGTTGCAGTGCCACTCAGAGATCCGAGGTACACTGCCATTACACGTGTCACCCAAAGATATAAGTTGATAAGTGCAATGCGCCTGTAATTTCACCAGCACTCTTACCCTTCAAAACCGGAACGAAATAATGCTCTCATTACTGCTTGGCGGGAGAAATAGGTAAGGTGGCAGTACTTCCCTGGACGAACTCTTTCACAAGGAGCTCTACTGCTACTAAAATATAATTCCATGATCTCAAAGGTTTAACATTTGAGACTGAATCATGCTGGGATATGTCCTCTTGTCTTATGCACACATATGAGGGAGCTGTAATGTGTTCATTACAACAACCGACTCAGTGCTCCACAACCACAACCCACGTGGTTATCAACAATGAGGAAGAAAAAGAAACGGTTACTCGTCTCAGGTCGTCAGTTTTTGTCGCAGGGCGTCCTACATTTCGCTTGCCTTGAGGTGTTCGCCACTAGAACAAGATCTGCTCTTTTTTACCTTATTAGACCTCCTGCAGATAGTCTTGCAGTCCGGCCCATTGCCACTTAAGCTTACCGATTTTGCGAGTTATGTCGGTCTGATGTCGGTGCATAATTATATAACTTTATGTAATGAGCAAAGTAGCGTCTTTGCAATCTTGCAGGGATTGTGTGACACTAAGTAGGTATTGCTCAAAAATCGCGACGCCGATTTAACTTGCGTAATTTGATGGCTATCGTTTATTTGATGATTAGTACCTAAGTTTGTTTCGTGAGCGTAATCCCGCAGCTTACAGACATTTTACGTAATTCAAGTTTACTTTGCCATTACCGTTAATAAACACAGTCTCTGTTAATATATACTGTTTAGATTTCAAACTACTACCTATTTCACGACCTGTATTAGAGTTTAAAAATGGGTTAAACATTATTTAGTATTATTGAATTTGCAACCTAAAATTCGTGTAGCCATAAGGTTGAATATAAATAATAAAACGAATATAATGAAATAATACGACGTCAATATTTACTAGAGTGTTCTATTCTAATGCTATTAATTTTGCAGTGATACCTTAGGAAATAAAAGAAGCCCACTGTCACTTTCCATGTCTGATTAAAAGAATTAAAACACATAATTAGCGATACTAACGGCAGGAAAGCAAGTATCGGGCAATTGTTTTTTTTTGGTCTAACTTATAATACATAGTTATGAATCCTATTTTGTATCAAAAATTGTTCAGTTCAATCACCATTTCATCAATCATTATGAATAAGGGACATTTTTTTTATTTGTTATTATTTTATATTATTAAACACATTAAAGTGAAGTGAGTCCCAAAACAGATGTTTCTACGTATTTCGACCACACGGAAAATCAATTTGTCGACTTTAAAAATACTTTAATATAAAGTATTTTTAGTTGATAATGAAAACAAAAGATTCCGGTAGTGAACTATAGGGTCCGAAACACGATTGACTAAACTTCGCTCGATAAAAAAACAAAGTACTGCAAAATTTAAATTTTTTATTACGTTTCTTATCTAGGAAAAAATCAGTTTCTTTTAAAGATATTTCCAGTGAGTTTTTATCTCCCGTGTTTCGAATAAGAAAGTCAAGAGATTATGAGCTTTAGTGTTTGTATGATATTTTATTGATTTGTGAAGCTTAAGCGTATTTATATGTTGCAAGCGAGCAAAACTTGAGATACTTTTCTCCGCTGCTGGGTATTAAGAAATACGATAAATAAATTCTGATCTGGACGAACAGGCGACCGAGAATTCATAAATAAAAGTTAATAAAAAAGATATACATACTGCTAAGTTAAATAACTCAACATTGTATATAGGTAATATGTGCTTAACCAACAAAGCAGCGCGGCGCCGCCGCCGCCATGGCGTGTGAATCGATAATCATGTTTACATTGTCTCCAGAATCTACTTTGATAACAACATAGCGAGTAAAATACGCCTTGACCTTATGGCTTACTTTAGTCTAACGTAGGTACATCGGATTTCGTAAACACGAAGATTTAATTCAATCCTGCATCAAGTGCAATAGAGAATTATTTCTTACATGTTTCGATGAATTAAAATTCTGCAATTTGCTACCTATTAGCTAATAATTACGTACTTACGCTTGTAAATAGTATTGATTAATATTGGATGTAAATTGCCTTTTTTACAGTGTTGTGTTACTATTAACTACTAATAAGAGTACTTTCACTATTAAAGTATTAACACCGTTCTTATTTTATAAACTAAATATAACTTACTATTTAGTATGGGTACAGTATTATATATCACAATAATAACACGACGTCTAAACCTTATAACGCTATGTGCAAGAAAAAGATCATGGCAATTTTCTTAAGACCAGAATTGTTTTCAACATTTCATCGCACCGCCTTCTGTTCTTCTGTCTATTTCTATGTATTACGAACATAATCTCAACAAAACGTTTTTATTTTCAGTTGGTAACTATATCAGCGTTCTTAGTGCTAGTGGTGCCGCGCGCGCGCATATTGGGAGAGGCTGTGGCTCAGATGGCTGTTATGATCGCCATGTATCATTTGTACTGCATGATGATCGCCGAGGGTGGCGGACCTGAGAACCTTGTGAGGTAAAAAAAGATTACAATTAGACACTTATTTCAGTGTGTTAAGTGACGTTTTCATCTTTCATCACACTTAAAGTGTAGCGTGCCTTACTATGATTAAGTGTGAATAATATTTATTAATCTAAGTGAATTAATACATATGTATAGGTATGTGTCGTGGACGTTTATTTTATCGCTAAAGAACTGTAATTTGAATAATTTGAAGCTGCGATTATGTGACGTTTTATTTATCGTCGGGCGACTGTCGTTGTAGCTCTTCCCATTGTCACGACAGTCTGTCGTTGTAACGTCAAAAAAGTCGTGAACAATCGTATTGTTCTATGTGTGAACAACTTAATTTAAATATACAAGACACGACACTTTGACTGCACGACTATCTATCGTGAGGACATAATGGGAACGCGCCCTTAGGGCTCAACCCACTAGTCTGCTCACGTCAGCATTTTAAGTTTTAGTTAAGATATATTTTTGTTGTGGCACTTCTTTATATACAGGGTTTAGTGCGGGACTATGAATGTGTGCGTTATTTATTAAAGTATGAAATAATGCTTTACAGGAGAGCAGGAGGAGCTCGAATGGAAACTCGAGTACTGCCGTGCTGCTGTTGGCCATGCTGTGTTATTCCGAAACCAAAGTTAGAGACGTAAGTTCTGGTTTTGAATTAGTTTTACAATATACGTAAAAGTATTCTATAAACAACAAAAACTTAAATTTAATGAGAGAATGAATTAATGGGATATAATTTGCTATAATGAATTGTGTAAGTATCTAAATTATTTAACGTGTTTAGGTTGACAATTGGAAATGTTGATGTGGGATCGGATTAATATTTACCTACATTGTTTTACCAACGTTTTTGATAAGAAAATATTTCATCGATGGCGTTAATAAATAATCTAATTTCAATTAACTACAAGGTGCCTTTTGAACATCGATCAACCCACGAACGTCGTGTAACAAAATACTGACGTACAATTAATTACTTTAATAAGTCAACAATGTGTTAATCATAATCATCATCATGACAAACTCATTATATGTCCCACTGCTGGGTGCGGGTCTCCTATGAAATAAAATTAAGATTGACGTAATATATAGGTAGTTATAATTTATGTACAAATTTCTTACGTGGTACCCACAAATATCACAAAATTAACTCGACGTTAATATTATTAACGACACTTTTAAGGCATTGTATTAAACGGAATGGGTGCGGCCTTCGGCCTTCAAATAGAGGGTGATTGAGTCATTAAAAGAATTTAGTTAAACAATTACCCCACCCTGAGGTGTTGCGTAGGTACTCAAGGCCACTTGCTAAATTAACTAGGTGGTGTTTAATAAGACCTTCAGCTTTATTGTGCAATTATGACAATAAAGGAAATGGGGGACTTTTGTCCAAGCCATATTTGATCGAAGTTTCTAAGTGTTATTTTTGAATTACGATACAAAAACGCGCATACCATTTTAGTACCTATTAAATTAAATGAACATAAAGTTCAACATTGTTCAATGTTATTGATATTCTTAACTTAGAATATTATTCTAAGATTCTTAAGTAATTTGATGTAAGTGAGGTAGGCAGTTTATTTTGTTTTGTTGGTCACATTTTTAGTTCCTATGCATATATATGTATTTAGTTCCTGTAGTCTTTCTTCTGTGAAAGACAGACATAACAGCAAAAAACAGTGAAAATGACTTAACAATGAAATTTATACTAACAGAGACACATCTTGTATTACTTAATTTTTCCATAGAGGGTGCAATGCCTGTTATAGTATAACATTTAAGAACTCTTCAAATATACCCAACAGCCCTAAAACCAACAAATAAAATCTTGACTCATTTTCTGTACATTTTTGTAAATGTAAATCAAGTCACTGTTTTACCGGGGGTGCTATATATACCTACACAGGGGTCCCCGCGGCTATGGGACACGAACACAATATATTGTATAGGATATTTTACTTAGAGACATTATTTTATTTTTAAAAGTAAGTAATTCTGCAAAAACTTCAAAGACTTTTTAATGTTGGTTGCCTCATCTGCAATCGAGCCGACCAAATGTGAAAAAATCCTATATTTATACAATGCTGATTAATAGCATATTAAATTAAAGAAACAGTATGAAATTATACATTTAAATTTAGGAAAATAAATTACAATGCGTTTTACTGTCGATATTGCTGATTTTCGTCACCTTTACATCCTTATACACTTTTATAAGAATTTAAAGGTGATAAAAATTATTTAAATAAATTTTTTTCGTAAAGATATGAGTACGTATGAAATTGGCTCCCCGTGATAATATCCTCAAAGAGCTAGGAGTATGCCCTCTACGGATTTAGAAATTTATGTTCCTAAACATATTGTATGTAGGTACGTAGCGGTACGTAATTATCTAAGTAGGTAAGTAGTCGATTTTCATTTACTGAAAAGTTGACCGATAAAATTTTGTAACACGTATTGTTGAAGTGGAGTTTTATATAAAATAATTGTAGTGCCAGCGCCTAGTGAAAAGCTGCATATTGGGCATTACGTTTAAGTACCATGATCTCTACAGAAAATTAACCTTATAAAAAACCTTAGTTCTAGCTTTAAAAGTATAATCTTGAAAATGTTAAATGAGGTGATAAATAAGGATACAAAGTGCTGACATATTATACATACAACTAGTACATGGGCAACATTTCATAAAATGTAGTTCAGAATTTTATAAGTACGCTTTGTAATTATTCCAACCTGTTAATGTTTATTTTTTAAACACGTTACGTACGTATATATGTATATATCTCAGTTTATGAAGGGATTAAAACATACTTATATCGTAGGTTATTTATTATTTAGATGTCAGTTTCATATTTAGTATTAGAAACTTCATTTCTCTATTTAGAAAATTACTTGCCCACGTGTTTATCAAAATCACATTTTTTTGGGTCAATCAACTTTTTTACCGACTCTGTGGTGAGATAACGATAGCCCCAGTATTTATTGATTGGATATTCTATTTTAAAACTTGTGCAGCGACGTTGATGATTGTTTTGAAAGCAATCAATGAAAAAATTAAATTGTGATGATAAAATGTCTTCTGCGTTATCAAAATTTTTACGATCGTTTACGCTTTGATAATTTCTTAATCGAATTATGGAATTTATGGTATGTTTTGTCTGTAACTACCACAGGCAATTCTAGGTCTCTGATAAATACACATATGATGAAATTGTGAAATTGGGAAAAATTAAGAAATTTGTAGAAATTCGTTTTAGACTGCAGACAAGTTAATTTTTGTTTTATAAAAGGGTTCAAAATTTACTTAAAAAATTATAATAAGCCGTGGTAACCTACTACCTTTTAAGCAGAGGCCGTTCGAATTCGGCCACGCACCTCGGAATTTATGGGCGAAATTTACTTAACAAAATACCATGACGTTTTCGGTGAAGGAAAACATCGTGATGAGGCCTGTACGTCGAAAAGGTTCAACAATCCTTGAAAAACGTGTGAAGTCTCCAACCCGCATTGGGCCAGCGGACTATGGACTAAACCCTGGCAGGCACAGGCATGGGCACAGGTCTCCAACTGTGCCCAATATTGGGGTGAATATTAATGATGTAAAAGTTAGCCAATTTTAAATTCTATGTACAAATTTAAATATAAACGAGTATAATTAATAAAAGTCGATTGAACCACTTTCCAATAACATTTGAAGAAAGAAGATATGCATTTAACAAAGTTTTTTTTTTAATTACAGGCGGTATTTGACTTGGATACGATATCTCGTTATGCAAATGCCAGTTGTTCAAGCGTTGCTGTATATCATTATGTTGGTATTGTGGGCTGAGGATATAGTAAGTAATCATTCGTAATTCACATTTTATCTGTATAATTGATAATCATTGTTTTGACGTATTTCCTAAATGTATCACTAAAATCTGATAATACCTATGGAATGACTAATTAAGTATACAGAGTGTTTGTGTATGGGGAAATCCGAAACCAAAGAAGATACAAGGGCACTGTCTTAGGAGTCATTAAGTATTTTTTTGTGAAAACTATTTTGGCATAGTCAATTTTTTGGTCAAGCGTGAGTTGTCCATAAATATGAATAAAATTGGCCAACATTTGTTTTTGGTGCTGATCGACTCAGTTTTATGTAAGGATCATTTCATTGTATAGGACGAAAAAATCGAGACAGCAGAATTTAGTCAAATGGAATGAAATGTTGTTCTATTGAATGAAAACTAATTTTGTTTGAATTTTTTTTTCATTAAATTTGACCAATTTCTGCCATCCCAATTTTTTTATATATTCTTAAAATTTGAACGGGACCGCTACTGAGGTACCCCATTTCAACAAAAAGAATACAGTCTTACTTTTATACAAAAAAGAATACACACAAAAAAATACAGTCGAATCGAGAACCTCCTTTTTTGAAGCAGATTCGCAGAATTAGTGGCAGAAGAAGAGCCTCGGTATCATTGCGTTTAGGGTCTAGCGTTCTTTCCACGAGCACTGGACTAGACTGCATACTAATGTATATGTATTACTTTTTCTTCTAACTCGCAAAGTAGGTAGGAAGATGTATACATTGTATTCGACTGTACATCGATTGTCATTTTCTTAATCAGAATTATAACCATTCAGGTTTTCCAGATTTCAGGCATTTAGGGGCTCAAGGCATTTAGGGGCTCAAGGCATTTAGGGGCTCAAGGCATTTTGAGTTTCAGATGATATGTGAAGACGTAATTTTGACATTAAGTCCACGGTCCCCGGATTGATGTATATTATGTACTCTTCTACGACATTCATTCACTTTAATATACCTTACTTGGTACTTGGTGTAACGGGCTGGTGTCCGCAATATACCTTAACTAACATTCATTTGTTTCCATTTCAGAATCTGTACTTGAATAGCTACTTTTACATGCAACCATTTATAGTAGCGTCGATTCTATTGGGAGTCTGGGGAACCATAATGTGCGTACGCGTCTTAGAGTCTGCTGGCTTCACTCCGCGACCGAGGTTCCTCGCTCTTCAATTGGTTTTGCTCGTCGTGAACCTTCAGTGTGGCTTAGCTAAAGCCCTGCCTAAATTTATGACGCTGCCATGCATTATGTCTTTGCATCCGTCTGTTGTAGTCCATAGTAAGTATACTTTTGAAGTGATGATGATGATTGAAACAGTTACGAAAAAATCGCGTGGGCCGGACACACGGATGGATACCGATAATATACGATCATTTTTATCAATTTTAATTAGAACAATAGTTCAGATCTATGATCAATATTCACTTTTCGGTACACCGTCCTTTTTTAAATTGTACGTGGTATTATTTCATATAAATGTTTATGTTTTCAGTGATCCAAAACATCATAATGATGCTAGAAATGCTGCTGCTTTCGTTATGGGCGATGTGGTTATATTGTCAGCCGCCTGGCAAGGTATCGGAAAAAGTACAAGTAGTCATTACAGTGTCGGGCGATAGCCACATAAAAGAAGATATTGACAAATCGATCGTGCATAATACGGATATAAAAATGTAATGTAAATGATATATTTAGTCTATCTTGACCATCGAGTATATAACCAGAAATAGAGACGAAATGTCATTTAATTTATTTGAAAACTATTCTGCCATATCATTACTGTGACAACTGCGTTCCGATTGGCTAGCCCGAGTTCGAAACAATTGGCGGGTGTCGTCAATGGCTGTCGTCAACTGTTTTACTTCAAATCGACCAGTTAACTTGAGTTTTGCCATAATGGACGAAAATTGCAAAATTACACATTTAATATTTAATTACCGATGAAATGTGATTCCGTTTGTTTTGTAATTAGATGTTTTGCTGTTTTTCTTACACCACCGAATAGAACAGCACGGCATTGTTAGAGATATTATCTTTATTACAATAAACACAGAATATTTTTTGGAATATACGGAGACGTACACACAGGTCTGTAGTTGGTCTGTCTATATTTCAGTGCAAACGAGAGTTGATATTTATAAGAGCTGTATCGCTAATGTGTTACCAGGAAAATATGGCCCTTATTTCGTCTCTATTTCTGGTTATATGCTCGATGTTCGAAACACTACCGTCATTGTATTACGTAATATCATATCGGTATGATGTTTCAACATATTCACGAAGCCATGTAGATGGTCTTCGGAATCGAGGAAAAGAGGGTTTCAGCGTTTAGGATAGCGCTTCGATATCGAAGTTTCTAGTTCTACACCCGCACTCACTCGGCTTATGAAATTCACTGTTAGACATTGGTTTAGTTGCTGTTAGCGTTTCTTCCATTATTTCTACAAAATCACCTTAACTTCAGAACTAAAAAATATGTAGGTATTAATAGATGTATATAGTCTGTGGTACCTACTAATAAAAAAATTTGTCATCGTTCAAGAGCTTTTCTTTTGCACTACACTTTGTGTTGTGATATGTGATTATTGTAATGTACTAAACATGAAGTAGTTTAGGTGTTTACTGTTACTAGTTGCATTATAAGTTAAGGCGGTTTAGGTAGTTGATGTACTGTTAATCTTCAATGGTGTTTTGTGTTGATAAAATTGTTAAACAATGTAAGCTTTAAAGTGAGGAACAATTTGTGATATGCTAATAAAGGTGATAAGCACGTACGTGCATGTTTTGAGAATTCAGTATAAGTTAAGAGCAAAAAAAATAAAATGGCAAATAAAAAGGTATTTGTAACTCTACCGAACCGACTCCATGTGAATTAAAATGAGATTGAATTCCTAAATAAATTTTATTTTTCGATGTACATAATTTTTTCTTTTGACAATTTTCACAAACGACATATAAAACTCCACATCAAAAAGTACACTAACCAATTAAAACATAGAAACCCAATAATTACATCTATTAACGTACTTATTCGTGTGATTCGTCATCGTTGCTTTGCGATCTGTCTTCATTGTCTTCGGATGGAGTACCGGCTCGAGAATTTTCAGATCCATAAATATTATGTAATTCTTCCAATTTGTAAGTAATCTTCATTCCCTTTGTTGTAGTGTGATTTACTTTGTTTACGAGTGATTTAGTTTGCTCTTCCAATCTCTTCAATCGAAGATCTCGAGCTGCAAATCTGGCTTCGTGATCCATTTCGGACGTTGAAGGTTCTGAACTATCTCTGCTCGATAAAGCCTGATCTTCATTTACATTCTCCTCTGGGCTTACCCTTCCCCCCATATTATTGTGTTCATCATGAAGTTTATCCAATTTTTCTTCAATTTGGTGGCCGGTGGTAAGAGTGTTGTTTATATTCATAACAACGTTGGAACATTCGGCCTCTAAGTTTTGAAGGCGTTCGTCTTTTTGACGTAAATGTTCGCTTTGTGCTTTAACGTTTTCAAGTATCGTCTTTAAGTCGACGGTAGGTATATATACAACAACTTGATTCTCAATCAAAGTTTCAGTAATAGGGGCATCAATTTCTTCTGATATTTTTCCAACAACTCCTTCGTTCCCTTCTATTTGAGCATTCTTGTTTGTTGTTAACATTTCAGCTACATTTGTGTGTGAAACATGATCTGATGTAAAACTTTTTTGTTCGATTATTTCACCCAAAGCGTGTGTATTTTCGTTTATGTTTCTGTCAATAATAACTTTTGGTTCGAGTAATAAGTCAGTATTCGAATCTTTTTCAAATATCTTATGAAGCAATGTATCAGAAGGATCATTTGAATTATTTTGCCTACTCGATGAAGGACGGTTGATCATTTGATCTAATGTCTCACTTATTAGTTCACTAAGTTTTGTCGTGTTCTGAGTTTGTGTCAATAAAGCTGCACTATTTTTTTCTAATTTTTCAAGCCTTTTGTCTTTTTTAGCCAGTCTTTCGTTTTGCCCCTGAATGTCTCTGAGAATCGCTGCAGGATCTATACGAAATCCTTCATTAATGACTTTGCCAGGTATTATACTGTCAGTCGCTTGACTCTCATTGTCATCACTATCTTCAATTATGTTAACAGTGTCACTGTTACTAGTGCAGGGCTCACCAATAGACAGTTCTTCGACACATGAATCATGGGCCATGTCACCAACTTCTTCCTCAGTTTCTTCACTTAGCTTTTCACTCTTAAGGCGACTTTCACTGTTGCAAGAATCTAACACATCTTGACGCTCGTCTCCATCTTGAGTATCAAGTGGGAGATCAGCTACATCTAACATGTCACTGGCAGGGTCTTCTCTTTCTGCTACTAAGTTAAAATCAGTGCTGGAGTCCAAAATTGTTTCAAAGGACTTTTTAAGCTTTTTCTTACATCGCACCAACGGCTCTGTAACGTATTCATGACTTTCATCGTTCGATTCTGATGAATCATCTGAAGGTCTCTCGTCACTATAACCACTTTCTGCTGAATTATTGAATGCTGCACTTGACTTAGATTTTCTGCTTGAAAATTCATTTCTCAATTTTCTCCAATCTCTTTCAGATTGAGAATTTTTTTCTCGAGCCTGTTCCCATTTTTCGCGGCAATACTCAAGTTCTTCTTTAAGCTCATTTAATAACTTTCTCTTCTGTTGTAGTTCATATTTGAGAATTTTCTCGTGTGTATGCAATTGGTGGTGGTGTCTTCGTAACCTCCCAACGACATGCCATGTTTTGCTAAGTTCAGTGGTAACTAGACAAAGCCTCCGCTCTTGTTCTTCTAAACGCGTTTCTAAGTGGACGTTTAGTTGTTTTATTCGATTTACTTCTTTTATCAGAGCTAACTTTTCAACAATCAGATCCTGAAATAAACAAAATGCGCAAATTATTAGTGTGAATATTTACTTTGCACAGTTGATCGTTGTTATTGCTTGTTTTTTAGTATGACCGACCAAATTGGCTTAATACCAAGAGTTACAAGTGCTGTATTTTTGCAGTACTAAATAATAGTAACTTTATTTTCAGGTTCCAAGTAACCGATTTAATGAATCATAGCCTCCAAAAAGACTATTGTAACGTTGTGCAGTCATACCTTTAACCTGATGTACGTCTGACTAACGCTTGGCACTAACACAGGTCCAGACTTGGTCTCAACAGATTTGTAGCAAGTGGTGACTTTTTCACCGGGACTTTCATCTGCTGCCGTTTGATGGCTCAATAATTCCATCAAGACTCGCCACACTTTAGGTAAATTTTGAACTATTTCTTCTGCTGATGTGTTGACTGGGCTATACGTGCCTGTAAAAATCAAATAAAAAAGTAAATCTAATTTCTTTTATGTCACCAAGTGATAGGACGGTGATGTCGTGGGTCTGGTGGTAAGCGACACGCCTGTTTAGTTAAAGAAATATTTTGATCCTAAAATACAAACCTAAATCTTCCTCAGATTTTTCTACGGCAGATCTTTCTTTTTCCAAGATTTGCCCTTCATTGGCGGTATCTCCTTCATCAACCTGACTGACAAGTTCCAACAGGAGTTTTGGTAGAGCAGTAGAAGCTTCTGAACCATTTTCCTTCTCTGCCATATGGGTAAGAAGCCCATGATTCTCTTCGAGGCGATGTACCAGTTTGTCTAAATCTTGTTTTGTTTTATAACCCAGTAAAACTTGTGAGAAGAGCTAAAACGTAAAATATGAAATTTAAATGTTTCTTGTTTATCCGTTTCTCTTCCCGATGTTAAGGTTTTTTTTACAACATCAAGTGACGGGACGAACAAGTCTGCGCCTGATGGTAAGAAACACGCCTGTCCATAACAGTTACAGTGCCACTCAGAGCTTTAAATTGCAAAGTTCTGAGGGACAATACCACTGCGCCCGTCACCCTGAGACATAAGTTGACAAGTCCCATGTGCCTGTAATTTCACCAGCATCCTTACCCTTCAAAACCGGAACACAGTAATCCTGACATTACTGCTTGACGGCAGAAATAGGTAAGGTGGCAGTGCTACACTGGACGAACTCTTTCACAAGGAGCTCTACTGCTACTAAAATGTTACTGTTAGGTAAGGGCAACAGCACTTACTTTATTTATAGCAGACATTTCGGCTTTCAAGCCACGCGTTTCATTTTGGGTTGTTGATATATGGTTGTTTTTATTTTCTATCGACTCCTGAAGTTCGTCTACTTTTGCTTCCATTTCTTCTACTTTGTCCGCCAGCTCTTTAGACCTATAACAAATTTCTTATAATGATGATAATGTAAATGAAATGATGATATTTATTAGTAGTTTATAATAAATACTTACTTATTGCTTTCGGCTTGGGTTAACAATTTCTGTTCTTCAAGCTCACGTACTAATCCTTGCCTAGTTACTTCAGCTAGTCGCGCCCTTTCCTCGTACAGACTTCGCAATGTACGGATGTTTTTCAATTGCCTCACATATTCTTGTCTTAAGTCTGCCGAAAGCATACTTGCTTCTCTGTCGGCAAGCGAGCGCTCTATTTCGCCTAATTTGTTTTTTAACTGTAAAAAATAAAATATTATGTTGTGTTATTATTATTTACATCTAAATAATATATGCGTTGAAGAATAAATATTAAAGATGTGAAAACTGTATCTATAGCGTGTCATTAAATTTAAATTGTTGATTGACTAATATGTGAAATGGCTACAAGAGTGTTTAAAAGTAGTGCAATAGGCATTATGGCGATATTTATTAACAACATTTGGCGAATTGACAAGTGTGCGTGCCAAGGAAGGCGATATATCTGCTCATCATCGTTTCGCGACCAGGCAGCGCGGTCTCTGACCGACGAACTTCGTCAGGTCGTTGGTCTTTAATATAAGTAGCTATTTTCTTTGTTAATAAACTAAGTAGCCCATGCCTCATTTTTTGTCGTAATACCTATTTTGGTATAATAAGATGGGAAGTATTATGATATATGCCAATGATACGATAAGTAGAAGAAGGTATCACAGGTTTTGAGATCATACTACACCATACTATATATATATGCAAGTAGGCAACTATTATGAAATGAAGGTATGTAGTAGATCATTAAAAGCTACTTGGGTCATGTTGACTTACCTCATTAAGTTGGCCTTCCCGAAGATTAATCATAGTTTTGCTAACTGATACAACCTCTTTTAAGGCGTTAATATGTTTAATGGACTCAGTATTTTGGGTTTGCAGATCCGCAATATCAGAGTTTGCACCCTGCAAAGCACGGTTAGACTCTGCTAGATCTCGTCTTAGCCTGTTATTGCTAGCTTTCAATGTCTCAAATTCTTCATTCATCTTATCAATCATTGCAGTTATGTCAGCAACTTCCTTAGAATTTTGAAGTTCCTCAGGAATATCGATGTTGTTTCTAGTTAACAATTCACGAAGTATTCTGTTACTTTCATAAGCTTCGAATCTAGATTTTTTTTCACTTTCAAGAGCTTTTTCCAGTTCTTGTTTTTCAGTTCTGTGCCTGTTCAGTATTTCCCTTCTTTGTTCGCGTTTGATTTCCAGTTGTCTCCTGAATTCCTCCATCTCTTCAGATTTTGCCTTAGCTCTTGACTCCTGTATTTCTGTATCGTCAATGGTGTCATGGAACTCATCAGCATTTTCACTTTCATTTGAAGCACTCATTTCGTCCATTGGTCCTCTTTCACTTGTGACGTAGTAAGCGTTGCGCCTCCCGTTCGAGTCAGTACTGAATACGTTGCCCATTTTGGAATACTTTTATAACGAGGCGCGCTTCAATTCTTCGTCGCAAAATCAAATCGAGGATGTACAATTTTAATTATAGGTAAGTAGCGATGTTTTTAATAAGACAAAGGAGTGTAGACTGGTCGGATCAGAGGCAATGCGTGGCGAAGCGGGCGCTCCCGAAATAGCCCCCGCGTCAGCACCAGACGCGTTCTCGCGCATACCTTGAATTCAACCACGCAGCTCCGTGGTTCGTCTACGTTTTATTAGATAGATGCCGACGTAACGGGAGATGTGCTTGTCGGTAAAGCGAACGCGCATGCCTCTTAGACAAACCTATGTTGACATTTTTATTTTATCAGGTTATTTTCCATATGATTACCTATTCATTGTTAAATAGCTACACGCTATACGTGAGTACGTACTTATTATATTACTGATTCATCACCTTTGCAGAAAATTATCTCGGTCATGTTCTCGAAATATATCGTGTATAAGCAGCTAATAGTCTAGGTATATAAACTTTACTTCTTCATTTTTATATCTTATTTGTTATAAATTGATGATTTAGTTGGTTATTTTTACTTTGTTTATTTCCCAAAGCCCATGTTTGTTGTTTATAGTAACTTTAATAAGGCGTTCCTATTACATTTTCGTGTTAATGCTGGGTTACGAGAAGGTGTAGACATAGTCAACAAGGTAGGTACTCTCGTATTTATAATACAAACGCTACCTAAATGTCTCCACAAAGGCAAGACCGAGGTAAATATTTGGTAAATATGCACAGGGTCAAGAGCACGTCAAGTTATGATACTTCAGATATAAATTCAACTCTATGCCGCTAACAATATGAATAGTTCAAAGTTCAAAGCGTCAAGCTTGATGTGTCTGGTCTTGGTCCTGTCTGTACAGTCAAGGGCACATCAAGCCTGACACTTTGCACTTTGGACCGTGGTTATCGTAAGCGGCATAGAGCTAGATTTGAATCCTAAGTGTCAAGCTTGACGTGCTCTCGATCCTACATTACATAATTCGACCTTCTACAAAAAAGTTTTAACAAAGTTGCGTCGTCTTGAAGCGCTGTTCGTTCACATACATAATTATGATGACAATATGGTTGATTAAGCGATGTTTAAAAACCTGTCCATTTTATTGTAAAAATTAGTATAAATTGCAGAAAACTCTGAAAAGCGCCTGAATAAAATATAGAGCAATGTAATTATTGAACAATAATTTTTTTTTATTTTTTTTTATTGCGACTCGGCAAAATGACTGCACCGCGCCTGATGGAAAGTGCGAATACAGTCCAGAGATGAGAGTAACAGACGGAAAACACAAATATCTTCACTCCGTCACTTTCATTTTGCCGGTCTGGCCAAATGCTTCTTCACACTACGTTTGAAGGACCCGATGTTATAGAGGGGAGGGAATACATGCGCCGGGAGTTGGTTCCACAATTTGATGGTTCGGCATAAAAACGAATTGCCAAACTTTTTAGTGCGGGACGGTATTGAAATGACCGTCCAACTGGCAACGCAGTCCGGCACGGGTGGTCCGCTGATGGAAAGGAGAGGAAGGGATAAGGTTGAATAATTCTTCAGAGCACTCACCGTGGTACAGGCGATAGAATACGCTAAGAGACGCTATTTCTCTGCGAAGCTGTAACGACTCCGCATGCTCAGTTACATGAGGATCGTTGACAACACGGAAGGCGTAGCGCTGCAGTCCATCTAGGGCATCGAGCAAGTACTTGGCAGAGCCGTCCCAAAGGTGCGAACCGTACTCCATGCTGCTTCGGACCTGAGCTTTATACAACAGGTATCGCAGCTCTGGAGTAAAAAATCGGTGCACCTTGTTCAGGATGTCAAGCTTGCGCGACGCGGTACAGATGACGCTCTCGATATAATTTTTGTTGCTCATGTCCTTCCGGATGCTCATTCCCAGTAGGCTGAGCTTGTCCTGCAGCGTCAGTGTCAGGGTACAATACCCTGAAGATAGGGAAGTGAAAGGAATGGGGATTTTTTGGAGCAGAACACGCATACCTAGGTTTTCTTGGCGTTGAACTCAACCAAGTTTCGGGAGCCCCACGACGATATATGTTCCAAAACATGGTTGAGCTCAGCGACAAGTTTTTCCCGGTTTCTCTCAGGGTCCTCCCGGCTGCTTGACGATTGCTTATAATAGCAACCGTGCACTGTGCTATCATCTGCATAGCAATGAATGTTGCCTAGAGGCAACAAGTCTTTGATATGCAGAAGGAACAGCGTGGGCGACAGCACGGAGCCCTGTGGCACCCCAGCATTAACTGTCACGAGCCGCGAAGTGCCTCCGTCAACAAGGACACGCAATCTTCACTCGCGCAGAAAGCCGGAGAGCCACTCACAAAGGCGGCCGGGAAGACCATATGCTGGAAGCTTGGAGAGGAGACCACGCTGCCAGACCCGATCAAAGGCCTTAGCAATATACAGACTTATCGCTAAGGTTTCGCCCTGTTTGTCGATAGCTTCACCCCAGAGATGCATTAGATACGCTAGAACGTCACCCGTTGATCGGTTCGGCCGAAACCCGTACTGTCGATCATTAAGAATGGAGTGACGTTCCAGGTGCCGGATTATCTGGATATTTAGAATCCGCTCCATCATTTTGCAGAGCACTGAAGTGACAGCTATTGGGCGATAGTTTGTCGGATCAGACCGATCTCCTTTCTTGGGGATAGGTTGCACGTTGGCCTCCCTCCAAGCTAGGGGCACGTTACCAGATTGGTATGAGAGGCGGTATAAGCGCGTCAGTACGGGAGACAACTCCGCCGCACACCTTTTAAGGACGATAGGAGGTATCCCATCCGGACCATAGGCCTTCCGCACGTCAAGAGTCTGCAATTCCTTGCGGACATCACATTGTCTGATAACTATATCAGGCATTGTGACTCCGCAGTGGGGAATTGACGGCGGTTGCGCATCTTGGTCGTGAATGCGCGAGTTAGCCCCAAAAAGGTCGGCCAATAAATTGGCTTTCTCTTCGGGGCCATAGGCCAAAAATCCATTGGGATACCTCAAAGGCGGCATACGACGAACGACAAAAATTGGATTGCACGGCTTTGGCCAGGCTCCAGTAGGCACGGCTACCGGTGGGATGGGCCACCAGTTTCTGGCCAATCCGTGAAACGCGATGGGCATCCGCTCTTATGTAAGCCGTCCTGCAAAACTTGGTTGCTTTGTTATAGGCTGCTTTAAGGGACGCAAGGTTGGGATCCTTTGTTACACGACCCTTGATCCAACCACGATATGCAGCCTGTTTTAAAATTCGACTTATTACTGCGTTATTATTCTAAGCTTATTACATGATAGACAATCCATTCGTTAGTGCTATTTGGGCCAAGGCCTATATACACAAGTTGTCTTAGTTGTGACGTCATGGGATTGCCAAACTGTTTCATGTCAATACAGTGAAATTATTTTTATTTAGTGTAATTTTATTGAAGAGTTAACGGGTGTTCAATCGATCGAGTTGATTTCATTTTGCAGTTGCGATGTGGTCGGAGTGAAGTTCATGCGAATAGTAAGTAAAGTGAAGATTTATGTAATCATCTCATCTACCTGACTGGTGAGAGAGTGAGAAGTTCAAGGTAAAGGATCTTGTAAGTAAAAATTGATTATCAAAAGGGATGTATAGAGAATAGAATTCGTAGAAGAAAGCTCTACTTGTCCCTTGTGTTGAGAATGGGGCTAGTGTTGCCTAATCCAAGACCAAGCCCAGTCTTGGTCTTGGTCTTGATATTGCACACTCAGTCTTGGTCTTGGTCTCGGTCTTGCTGCAAGAGTCTCGCAAGTCTTGTAATTACCTGTCGCTACTTATTAGATATGCAAATATACGACACCGATTATCGTAAACTGCAGGTTAACATAATGTTTGACGATGATCGGTATCGTGAAAATAGTCATTAATAACAATTCTTAAATAACAAACAAATGTCAAACAATTAAAAAGATGAGTGAATAGAGCGTAAAAACATTTTAAATATTTGCACAGAATTAAGTTTAATTTAATCAACGGTATGGCAACCTAAAATTCCACTTATACCAACCAAGTGATGGCGTGGTAGGGAAGAGTGGAAAAAAAACCCACTTGTCCCCACCAGGGGGGACAGCTGGTAGGTACTAGTGGAATAGGCCATCCAAAAATGATAAATTTATTCAATTAATATTAAACTCTATGGGTTTGTTTGGTTAATGTTTATACAGTCCAATATAAGAGTACCTACTATAATATATTTATTATTAATACAAATACAATTAATAATAATAATATACCTAACATAACGATCGCAACTGCTTTCAAAGACTAACTAAGGTGTTCGGTTACGTTCCGAGCGCCTCTGAATTAATTTTTTTCTTTGGAACACCGGCTTTTTGCTCAAACAGCGATGCCAAATATTCACTTGCCACACCGTCTCATGAGAAAGCGGTGTATTTTTCGGCAAATTAACTATAGTTTTGCTTATATGTGTGCCGTCTTATATATTATTAAACTTTTCCTTTGGGAAATAAAGTTTAATAATATTTCAACCGATATCATTGAAGATTGTAGAAATTGTTAAAAAAAAAATTCTTTATATTGTTCATCTTTTATTACGACTATTGCAAGTCGTATCGAATACCTATTCTTTAAATTTAGACATTTTTGTATAATATACATTTACGTCAATGTGCTGGACTAAAGGTTGGCTCACGAATGCTGAACTTCTATAACATTTCGAAATCTTAGGTTTTCTAAATTGTTACACAAGGAAATGAAACTATTTTTTCGGATTTATCGCGTATATATGTTTTTTCAAACAAACCGACATTTCGGACCCTTTACTGAATATTAATGCAAACCAGCCTATTTTTTCACTATAGTTACAAAAGTTGTATTAATCATATACCTTATTTTTAATTTTACAAAGAAACATTCCAATATACGCTACATTACGTTTTACAAATAATTTTATTCAATCAATTTTTATTAAGTTCAATTTATTATTAATTAATAATAGAAATTAGAATAAATTCAAACATATTAGTACTGCAGTCTTATGTCTGTCTGGAATTTTTCATCAGAGGAAATATAGGATCCCAAACTGGTGGTACGGAGACTTTTCCGCAGGTATTGTAAAAATATTTCATTTTTTTTCTTCTTTCCATAAAGGAAAAGGCAAAGGTTTTACACCATACAGCCAAGTCTTAGTACATTATTCTTTTTTGGTACATGAAGTTGAATTATGTTTCTGTAAATATGGCCGCCACAAAGAGGATAGGCAATTTGAGGCGGCGCCGTGCTTGGATTGACTCGGGATCCCTTAGAACGGGCCGATACGGGTATTTTAGTTCGAGATTCGTATAATTTCGCATTTTAATCTTCGATTAAGGTACAATAGCACTATCCTATTCCATTTTAAACTAGATTTCACAAAATAATTGAAAGTCAAAATAAAAACGACACTTTCCCCTCCAAAAGGTCCAGAGCGAATCTAAAAATATTTCAACCACGCTTGACATAATTATAAAGGTTTTAAATAAAGGAGCAATGATCAAAGACAATCAAAAATCTTTAATGCTCATTATCTGGAAATTTCTATTCTGTGACTTAACACAAATATGCATAGCGCCATCTAAATAAGATATCACCGAGAAACGGCAAATGAGAATAACTATTTCTGCTCTTTAAAAAAACATAAGCATTCAATCGCATAAAAGACATACAACATAGTATTGACTCCAAACCACAGTACTAATATTCGTAAAATTGTGCTGCAAACACTGTTTGCTATACTAGATTAGGCTTGTTTTTAGAAATATCAATTATGTCCATATAACTGTTGTTTTACTGTATTGTGTCCACTCTGCCTAAAGTAAAAGGAACAAAATATTTGTTTGTAAAGACTGTAGTGTAAGAAATTTCGCAGAAACTATTTTATTTGTATTATCAAAACAAAACGTTTAAAATGAAAAAAAAAATGGCATTGCAGCATTAGCCTAATGAATTGCAGAATATTAATTTCACAAACTATGAGATACTACGTATATTAATTTGGTATAATTTCGCTTCAACAGACTTCTACCTAGTCTGTGGCCTGTGGTTTCATTGTAGTCTATGCTTTGTTAGGCTACGGTAAGGGCTACGGCAACGTCAGGATGGAAATAAAAGTCAGTCAAACAGTGCGTTAGCATCCCTAGTAAGTTTGCGAAGCAGTGAACTCTATCTGTTCTATATTACTCTTTTACTCTTTGCTAGTTTGTATTGTAACTATCGTATGTGATGTGAACCCTTCAAATGTCAGTCATTTCATTTTCACGATTTATGATTTTTCTTCTTGGAAATCCGGAATTTGGGAAAGTCACGTAATATCTTGATTAAGTTTGACTCGTATAAAAGCAAGAACGTCGTCTCAACATTGGCAGTCTACTAAACTTTTGCGAATACGTAAATATTCCACGTTGTGTGTCAAGCAAGATTGATTTTTATTTTATTTTGTTCTAACAGTGGCTTATTGATACAAATAGCTAATAAAATCACTATATTGTGACGTGGTATCAATTAACCCGACTTTTGGACGTGCTATGATGTGAAATGTGAAGTAGAAATAAGCTAGCAGAGTAATGGATGAGAGTACTAAGAACTCCCCTTGTAAGGTAAAGATTGGCGATATTTGTTTGCTATAGTCTATTTCCATCATGGCAAATTCTCTGCTGCTCTTCTTAGCTCTAGCGACTATGTGAATATTGTAGAGTTATCAAAATTTTCGACACAGCTAGTAATAGATTTTTTATAACTTTCATTGTTGTGTAATTTAATTGTATTTAATTAGCAGAAGGCTTAATTTGCTTAGTATAGAGGTTTGTTCCAAGTTTTGTGATATTTTATTAAACATCTAGTGTTTAGTTGGACCAGTATTCTGTCTGTTGACTGTCCAAGGGGAGGCTCAGGACAAAGATCGTGTAAATAATCTAATCACACTGATGTCTTTCGAAAGAGTTTTACTTACTAAAAAGATACTGTGTCTAATAGACAGAATGCACATTGCTTTTCTCTTCTTATTTGCCAAGGTTACTTAATTTTATTTATTAAGTAAATGCATCCAAAACTTTTTTATTTACATTTGAGGAATTTTGTTATCCCTAGTGTTAGTTCTGACAAAGTAGACTGTATTAATTAGTAAGTTTTTACTAAAAACCTTTGACTATAACTTTTACATTACAAAAATTCCTCAATTATTTTTGAATATTTCAGCTTTGGATTAAAAGTAAATGTATCTTAATCAAAAGTTTATTGTTTCCGATGTTGCATAATTGTTAGGAATGCGATGCGGGTGCAGATGGACAGTTGCAGGCAGAGGTACTCCATCTGCGGCAACATCTGGCTGAAAGGGACGGCCATATTTTAGCGCTTGAAACTGAATTCCTCAAGTGTTCCTCTAGAGTCAACGACTTGGAAGAACAGGTCGACACTTGGAGAGAAAAATATGAAAGGTAATCAATTAATTTTATCCTTTTCAATTCTGGTATATGTCCTAGGTATTGCTCTGGGAGTTTTCATTGCTTTGGTACTCATAGCATTGGAAATATTATTACCTTGTGTTAAAGTTAAGCAATGAAATTGTTTAGCATAGTTATTAATAACTAAAACTGTAATATTATGTCAAATTAATAAAAAACATAGGTTACATTTATGTTACAACTATGCTTCATTTATATGATGCTCACATTTACACAATTTTATTATATTTGTATTATTAACATGCATCATTCAATTTAAATACTATACCAAACTTACAATACATGTTATTAACACCTGTGCTAACAGCTATTTATTCAATATTCTTGTTACCTATATATTACGCTAGTAGTTACGCTAAGGAATGAGTAATTGATTCCAGTTGCGGTGCTGTTCCAAATACTCAATTTTCAAATCTTCCATTTCTATCGTTGTAATTGTATGGCTCTACGACATATTTTTTGTGAACGAAGATTTCGTTAGTAACAATTAATTGTTTGTTTTTAATGACTTTAGTTTGTGGAAACTGCGCTCTCAATTACACACAAAAATTATCATTTAAATTAATAGTATTCCACATTATGACAAAAATTCAAAACAAAAATAATTGTTTTTCCAACTGATGATGATGTAATAGGAAGTTAAATTTGTAAATAAGGGTGTCACCACATTTATTCATAGTCAGATGTCATTATGTCCAAGCAATAAGTGCGAAAAAGACGTTGCGCGTTTCACTTCCGCCCGGATCGCCAATGTTAGTCAGTTCAATGTGAATCCGTGACTATAAATGTGGCCTTAAAAAGTAACGGATAATATTATTTAAGCATTGTATCAAATCAAAAGTTCTTATTTATTTTATTCAATATCATGATATTTTACGTTCTTATATTTTTTATGAAAATACTCCACATTGGTGTTGAAATAAAAATTGATCAAACACAGAAAATTTTTCATCGATCCCAGTGACGTCGAACCAGCAATTGTTTGCCAGAGTTTGTTCAATCTTGGTATCAATAATAACATCAAAAGTTCTTGTTAAATTTTATTTTTATTTTAGATTATATGATTCCCACAAAAGAGTTCAAAAGTTAAATCAAGTTTTAGAAGACAAGTTACTTCAAATAGTGGATAAGATGAAGAGTGAGAAAAGTCAGCTCACAAAAGACATAGCCACGCTCTCTGTAAGGCTTGCTGAGTCTAAGCATAACTATAGCATGTTACAGAAGGAAAATGTAAGAAATTAATTAAATCATTTTTGTTTTATGGAATAAACTTAAATTTTATTTAATTTGCATGACAGCAAACTTTAGAAGAAAGAAACTAATTAAATTGTTCATATTCAACATTTAAAATTATCAAATTCACACAACTAATATAATAGGAGCTCATACGGATAATATGATTGATAGATAATATATATTTATTTACAGGAGAGATACAAAAATGACATGAATCTAGCCATTCAGCTGTTGCAATGTAAACCTGACAACTTCGTGTCGCAAAAACTAGACAACGTAAGTGAAACATACCGACTGAACCATCATATTCTTTAGAATGTGCCTGTGTGCTTGATCGATATCTTTGCTTTACAGCTTCCTGTTGACACTCAGGCGCGTGTTTCGCAGTACGTTATGTCCAAAACAACGAAGGCATCGAGCAGCGCGCCATCTAAAAATGGTAACGAAACCGACACTTTCGACGCGAGTGAGTATGAGTTTAACATATCCGCCTCCCTCATGACGAAGATTTTAGAAGACAGCATTCAGGATAGTGTCACCAAACACTGTGATACGTGTTCTTGCAGTAAATCTCAAACCAAACCATTCTGCTACAATGAAAGTTACTATTCTGTAGCAACACAAACTACCTTGACGGGTGAAATGAGCAATTCACTCTGTCTAACTTGCAATTCTGAAAACAAATCGAACCATTCCGATTTGAGTGAAAAGGGCTCCTCATCTCAAGGCATTAAACTAATAAATGACAAGAAAATTGGTTTAACTGGACCCTTATACATAATACCTCAACCTTCTGTTGATGCTCAAAATGATCAGGATGATGCAAGTGAGAAGACAAAAAACAATTGCATAAATGAAAATATTAATAAATTTGTTGATGAGAATAAAGTGGATATAAATGTACACAACAATACAGTTCCTAAAGCGATGGAAGACTTGAGGCATTACAGAAAACCGAATAGTATCAATATGGAACCAGCTGTGCATCACAAACTTTGTGATAGAACAAAGACCTCAATATCAAGCAAGAGAAGCAGTAGTCACAGCGTCGGTCAAGACGATTTGCTGTCTAAAGATAACTTAACACCTGTCATAGAAGTGAAACCAAGATCTGAAATACAAGGGGATAACACAAGTTTGAGAAAGAATTCTCATAGCTCAATTGGAGCATTGAGCAGGACTTCTTCAGTGGCAAAGTCCACAGTGAGCACTCATAAGTCTAATACTCAAGTAGGACCCGGACCCAGGTTCTGTCACTTACGCATGCAGGCTGGATCTAAGAATATACTGCTTGATAATGCCGAGCCCAACGTACCCCCTGTCCTATACAGACGTCAGAGTAAATGTAACGAAAACGCCATCTACAAAGATCTCAACGAAGGGTTGGATAATTTTATTGATATACAAAAACCTGAAGACGATACCAAAGAAGACGTTAAGAATGATAACATTGTGGTAGAAAGTACTCTTATCGATGTTCATGTTGACAACAATAGCAAAGAACCTAGTATAGTCGCCAAGAGTACTCCAATTAATCCTATCTTATTGAATGTTTCTTCATCACCACTACAACCATTGAAGACTCATAATTTTTCCAATGGCTCTGAAAATAATAATAATAAATCACTGAGTATTGGAAGTCCACAAAATACTTCCGAAGTTGATAATATTTTACTAAGTGATTTTACTGAAGTAAACGCACAAAACAATAATCTGGACAACAAAGATATTAAGAAACTAGATGTTATGACTCCTACAGATGAGCATGATGTTAAAATATTTAACTTCGACCGCTATGAGCAAAACAAAATTACTAGTCACATACCTCGACCTTTAAGAAAAATTGATATGTCGCAACTCCATTCTATTGAAAATACGAAAATCTCCAAAGATTTCTCACCTCAGGGAGGTTTTACAAAGATCGACAAAAAAGTAGATCCTAGTAAATCTGTTTTGCCGGCTATTGTCAATGTTTACCCGAATCTGACTCAAACTCATTTAAAGGCGAATGACCACAAAATATTGTTCACAAACGAACAAAGTACGAGTTCACTATCTAGTGACGATAGTGCTGCGATTTTACAGAAGCAGCAATTGCTAAGAGTCGCCGAGTGGGTAGAGCAGAATTTGGAGCAACAAAATAATTTCAACGACCCTTTAGAAGACGAGGTCAGTTTTAATACCCGAATGGCGCGACGAGATAGTAAATTGAACAGATTGACTGCGACGCTTAATGAGCTCGCGTTAAACATGCCTCATCCGGTCAGTAAGTATGCCAAGCCTTACATAAGGGATACTGATAATTCCTGGGTGAATAACAACACCAACATGGCCCATAACGCAAAGCCGGAAAGATTGGTGACGCAAAGTATCGCCGTGGTTCACGCGAAGCCTGTTCCTAATATTACGAAGGAAACAATTTTCCCCGTTGATTGCGATGATGCGGCTGTAACCGAAACAAACGATAATGCTAGCAGGAGTGATATTACCAATTTTGAATCCAAAAAATTTAGGGAGACTTTTAAAGCTAACGGTGAAATAACTCCCGAAGACTTAGCGCGAATGGAATATAACGTGAAGAAATTCTTGTTAAGTGGCCCTTATTGGGCGACGCCTGATTCTACAGGCAGGAGCCGTCGCACAAGCAGCAAAACTGAGACTGATGTTTAATTCCAATGTAGGTAGAAGGATAGTTTAAACATTCAGAGGTGTTTGTGTTTGTCTGTCAAATTGCTTTTAATGATGATTTTTTGACGAAACAAATGTTGAGGGTTTAGCGACGGATTAATGTAATCGTACCTTAGAGTATACAATCCTACGGTATAGAGCGCGCATATCGCACTAGTCGCCTAGTTCGCAGCGTAGGCAAGTAAACTATAGCTAATTATATTGATGAGTAGGTGACGTTTAGGGATTGGACCGCTACTGTTGCACGATATCGACATTGGTTCAATAATAATCTGTTAGTTAGATTATGGTTTGTAAAATAAAAGATCCAGTGCAGGATTTTTTTAATAAATCAAATAATAATTATCTATTATTAATATAATTTTTATTGACCGCTAAAAAGCGTAAGCTTATTATAAAGCTGTCTTTTAGTTTTCTTAATATTTAACTTTCGAACTAAATATTTCACGCGTATATCAATATATTTTTGAATCACAGCTCTTAGCAAATGTAGTAAATGATTGCTGCAAGGTTCTTGTTCAAATAAATGCGCGTGAAGCACATGAAATATATCTGTACCAATGAACAACTTCAGCGTTTTATTGACCATGCTTCGAGCATCACGATCTGCTTCATTTTTCGATTCTATATTACTTTTGACTATTTTTTCAGCGGCATTACATAAATGAATCACGTCCTCAGATGGATACATAAGACCTCCTCTGTCTTTAAATAATATAAACGAATTATAATGAGAAGGTGTCGTTGCTATTAAAGCAGATAAACAGTCAACGCACTCTATTTTACATAGTAAATATCTTGTTACATATCCAGCAATATAGGAGATGACGTGCTGTGAAATAATTGAGTAATCTACCGTTGTGGGTAAATTCACATCATCTTCAAAATTACTCATAAATTGTTCGTCAACAATAGCATCATCCTCTTGTGAACATGACCTGTGTCCTTTAGTAGTTAAATTTATGTGATTAACGGATGAAGAACAGGTTAACAGAGTAATTTGTTCCAAGGACGCACAGTTTCCGGAAAAGTTTTCTTTAAGCTCCATATGCACCAAAAGCTTTTTGTAGATAGCTTTGAATTGGGAGACCGACGGATTATTATTAAACCCACCATGGGATCGTATCACTGAAAAAAGGATCTCCAGATGGTCCTGGCTTATTTTGTACATAGCCAAGAAATTAATTTTTTTTTCTTGCTTAACCAGCCTTATGTACAACTCTTTCATGCTCTCAATGCACACACAAAGTCCGAGAAATCCAATTTTGTTTCGTGAATGTACAATCTGTCGATTTTCATTTGGGAACACTAATGTCTGTAGGTATGTTTTAGCATTTTCTAGAAATGTTATATATTTTGTCTCATTATTCTCATTGATGGGAGCTTTGAAGTCAATTCCCAGAAATTTCCGGGAATTGAAAATGTCAAAAACATTGTTTATCACATGAGTAAAATTTACCGTTGCAGCAGAGTTTGCAAAATTTAACAAATGCAGCCTTTTATCACAAAATTCAATAGCTTTTGCCACACTAGCGCTGAATAATTGTACTGCTAGTTTTACCTTCATTACTTGATTCTTAAAATGAAGATGTCTTGTTGTTAATTTGTTAGCTAAGTGAAAATTTTCATTTTCCTGCAAAGTGTTAAGCTCAACAAAATATTGCCATTTAATAAGTCCTCCATTGTTATCTTGAAAAACCTTTTTACTTTCTAAAGTATTTCTGACAAGTTTGACCATATGGCATGGATCAAGAAACACATAGATAGACTGTTCCGTCTCAGGGTGCGGAAAATAGGTTTTTAACTGTCCTAGATCAAATGAACAGCCGAGCTCGCGAGCCATAGCCATGTTTGCCGGACAACCATCGAATGTCATCGATACAACTTCTACGCCGACTTCGTGACAATTGGAAAGGCACATTCGAACTAAATTTGCTCTTTGATCTCCTGTAACGCCATCCACCAAAAAATATCCCACAGGGATTTTCCATCGTCCGTTTACCGCCACCAAAAGAAATACCAGGGCTTGTGTACACAATGCGGTTGTATCTCCGGGTACATCAATTCCTGCTCCAAAGTCCACAAAACCTTCAACTTTGTTGCCATCAAACTCTTTTAGCTTACGTATGGCCATTTCATCGGTAACTAAATTACATAAAATTTTATTTTCGGTCGCCTTTACTTTTTCGCGAAGAGCATTAAATGCTTCGGCAGTAAAACCTGGAGACGCATTGAGGCATTGGTACCATTTCCGGATTGTACTTGGGTGTGGGAGACATGTGTTAAATGTACTCCTTATGTACGAGTAGGCCTTCGGAGAATAAAAATGGAGTGTTAGCGCAAATGTGCGGAGCTCTGGTGAATATTTCTTGCCTTTATTCATCATTCTCTTAAGGAGAGCTGCTGCAGAAACTTCACACGATTCTAGAAGAGCAACTTGCTCTTGTGTAATGAATCTCTTTTCTTTTAATTCGTCTAATACTTGAGACATATTATTAATTTTTTTTTTCAAACGCTGGCGTGTTGCGTAAAGCGCATTGCATCGCATTCGGCGACGTTTAGCTACATCTTTTAATCGAATAATTTGTTTTTTCAATTTTTGTTTTCTTGGGGTATCGCCGACATTTGGGAGAAGTGGACATACGGCTGAAGGCACTTCATGATCAATATGCATATTGTTTGAAGTAGATGGTTCGTGCTCTGCAAACGGTACTTCGCCTGAATTTAATGACGCTGCTTCCGTCGAATTATTATCAGCAGGTGTTGATTGACCAAGAAAAAGGGATGGGACAGCCGTACTTATTAATTTGCGTAGTCCTTTTTTCGTTTCATAGATATTGGAATCATGAAAGTGTACTGAACAAACTTTATTCCATATGTTTGGCTTAAAACTTGTTCGTTTTAAAGCGACAATCCACTTGTTCATCAAATTTCGGTCCTTTGGAAAGCTGAAATATAAGAAAACTTGAAAATTTATTTTATTTATTTTTTATTTACTTCATTCTTCACCTACCAAAATTTTTCAAAATCAATTAAGTAATTTAGACGTTATATAGTAACAATTCATAATTTACTTTTACGCTATAATAAATAATAAGCGCATTAAAAATATTAAAAAGTGGATATATCGTAAAAATTACAACGCACACACATGTAAATTATTTTGAAGTAATAGATAATAAAAAAACAGCCGTATTTACATAAAAAAAGTTTTACAACGTTTAAACTAGTCAACTGTTTTGTCACTATTTTTCAAATTCATAATATCATTTCAAAGAAAGAGATAAAAATATAAATTATCGACTGCAGCATTGGTCGCGTCACATCACTACAATCTCGAGTGGGGAGTGCGGTGCGCGGGCGTACCTATGCGTGCTCGCCTCTCCCGCCTCCTTCACCCCCGTGCTTCGTAATTTGTTTTAATAAAATAAGTATTTTAATCGACTTACCGATGAAATGTGATACTGGATTTCAATTTTGTCTGTTTTCTAGTATCGTTTTTGCAAGATTCAACTGCACATTTGACCATTTTAATCCGTAAATAGCAAAAAATCTTTTGGGGAACGCACACTGATAGCACTTGACAACGACTGCGAGCGCTCGTGGCGGGAACGTCATTTTGTTCTCACTTGTGCCTATTGTTCCCACTTCTTTGCGCGCGCTCTATACCGTAGGATTGTATACTCTAAGAATCGTACCTACAACAACAAAATTGATATTTTTATCCTAGTCTCTCCAATTTTGGAATTAGTTGAAGCAGTGCTTGTAAAATATGCCAGCGAGAATGAGAATTATCTTGTATGCAAATTTTTGTGGGGTAATAAGTTGTTATTATATAGAACGAGAGTGGGAGGTAGAAGGCACAATGATAGGAGCTTCTAAGTTGTGTCAATTTATTTCGTATAGAAGTAGTTCAGTGTTAGTTGTCGTAGATTGTGAAAATCAAGGCTGCCGTTAGATAAAATTGAATAATGTAGAAAACATTCTCAGTATTATGCAGATTTATACAAATAGACGCTTTTGTGAGTACTTTGTGATATATAAATTCGTAAAAAAAATACGTCATACCTCCACGTACAAAATACTATTATGTAATGTATTACAGAATTTACTCAACATTATATTCTACTGCTTATTACGATTACGGAAATAAAGTTACACTAGAAGCTTATTTTTCCAAACTAAAAGTTGTACTTATACACAGTTTCATGCCATGTTACATGTCGCATTATTTGAAATTCTACAAAACTTTCAACTCTCGTTTTGAAACCATTTTGTCTGTCTATTCCAATTCCCCGCCAGTTATTATAAACAACTTGTTTAAGGGTCAATATATGCCGTCGATAATGATTACAAAATGTTTATCCAAAACAGTGTATCTCAATACCTCCGCTTAAAAAAGTCATATTTTATCAAAATGTGTGTCTCTTGTGCATATTTTCTTATTTATACAAAATATATTTTTAAAGTACAGTATTGTAGTCCGTATACTGTAGAGCAGAGTATATTGATGACTGTAGTTAGGGTAAATACAAAATGTTAAATACTTTAGTGTCAGATTTCGGTGGAACAAAAATCTAATTAGAATTTCCAATATTGTTTTAGGGAGTCACCACATTAATTTACACATAATTGCATTAAGTCGTAGGAAAAACTTTAATGTCCTTGAATGTAAGAGTGAAAAATAAGTGCGTTTCGCATCGGTTCGTATGAACATGGCGCGACACAGGTCGGCAACGAATCTGCTTCCTGCTAATTTTCGATCGCGTCCATACGATGACAACGACCGCTGATCCTGATTTAGAAACAACAGGGGCGACTTGGCGTCAATGGCGAATCGGATCAATGCGAAGTGTGATCAAAGACGATCGCATCAAGACTATTTCGCGTTAATAAGTTTGGTGACTCCCTTATAAATTCTGATACAAATGATACATGGTATCAACGCATAATTAATAATTATATTGAAAAAATAGCCCAGGCTTTTCAATATTTTAGTACTTTATTTTGAATACTTATTTAGAAAAAGAATGAATTTAATTGGTTGTTTTATAATTACTTGTAATTGATTTTGTTTAGGATTGAAATGTCATTAATTATTGC